TATAATTAAAAGTATTATTAGTTGAATTATTTTCTTACAGAACTGGGGCACATGATTTCACAGACCCTCCTACACAACCAAGCCCAAATTCTGGTGCATCAAGAAGTTTATTTTTCCCAGATGAAGCTATATATTTAGGTCACCCACGATTTAAAACATTAACAAGAAATATCAGACAACGCCGTGGAGAAAAAGTTGTCATAAACATTCCTAGTATGTATTTATTGTATCTAATAATTGCATATCTTTGTCTCTTTTGGCAGTAAAACAATTCAGTTAAAACTTAACATGAAGTATTTCTTTATAGTCTATAAAGATAAAAATGTTCCAAGTCCATTTAAAGAGGATTTTGGTACTTTAGCCAATGAGGAATCTAGTTGTGCAGCAAAAGAAGATCATATTTATATGGATGCTATGGGTTTTGGAATGGGATGTTGTTGTTTGCAACTTACTTTTCAAGCTTGTAATATAGAAGAAGCAAGAACTTTATATGACCAACTAACACCTTTATGCCCAATAATGGTTAGTAACACTTAAAACTATAATTATACTTTTTATAAACTGTGAAAGCATGGAGTTAGCATCTTCTTTCGCACATACGTTACAGAACATTTGTTTAACATTCGACAGTTGGCTCTAACTGCTGCTAGTCCATTTTATCGAGGATATATAAGTGACGTTGACTGCCGATGGAATGTGATATCTTGTTCTGTTGACTGCAGAACGGAAGAAGAACGTGGTTTAAAACCTCTGAAGGAAAATAAATTCAGAATCAATAAATCTAGATATGACTCTATTGATTCATACCTTAGTGAACAAGGAGAAAAATATAACGATGTTCCTTTGATATATGATGATGAAATATACAAACAACTTGTGGACAATGGAATTGATAAATTACTTGCACAACATATAGCTCATTTATTTATCAGAGATACTGTGTCTCTATTTTCTGAAAAAGTACATCAAAATGATTTGGAGAATACTGATCACTTTGAAGTAGTTATCATCATTATTAATTCATTCATAATTATATTAATTGATTTTAGTTGTATTTATATAATTTCATCTAATTATATAAATACAAAATGTAAAATTTCAGAATATACAATCAACAAATTGGCAAACAATGCGATTTAAACCACCACCACCAAATTCCTCTATAGGTTGGCGTGTTGAATTCCGTCCATGCGAGGTTCAAATCACAGACTTCGAAAATGCTGCCATAGTGTGTTTTGTTGTTCTGCTTACAAGAGTTATTTTAAGTTATAAACTAAATCTTCTGATACCAATTAGTAAAGTTGACAAAAATATGGTTCAGGCGCAAAAAAGAAATGCAGTAATAGCAGAAAAATTTTGGTTTCGTCGAGATATTACATCAGATGTAAAAAAACAAGATGGACAAGCAGAATATACAGAATTTACTATCCATGAAATTATCAATGGAAAGGTATTAATATTTCTTTCGTGAGTAAAATCGGTCAATAAATCACGTAAATCAAATAAAATATATTATTTTGTTTTAGGAGGGTGTTTTTCCGGGTTTAATACCGTTAGTAAATTCGTACTTAGCCAGCATGGATGTAGATGCGGATACTCATTGTACCGTACAAGCATATATGAAATTAATACAAAAAAGAGCTTCTGGAGAATTATTAACAACTGCTTCATGGTTAAGAAAGGAAGTTATTTCACATCCAGAGTACAAGTAAGTGTTTCTGTACATATACACATGTGTAAAGTATGTAAGTGTGTTTATTATATTACTAATATTATATTGTTTTAATATAGGAATGACTCTGTAATAACACAACGTATTAACTATGACTTATTAAAAAAGATACAGAAGATTGTAGCTAATGAAATATCGTGTCCAGAGTTACTTGGAACGTGTATATCATCTAAAACTAATGAAACTATACCTGCAGCAGTTGCAAAAGCAGAGAAAGTTCCAATATGAATTGTTAACGGCAATACGCTTAAACAGGCAATATACTAAATTAAATTAATTTGTTTTAGTACACTTCAGATGTTGTTGTACTTAACACTTAAATGGGAAAAATCCGAATTGTTCGATATCAATTTTAATGCGTATTTGTAGGGTGGTAGCAAACAGATTTCTAATGATATGTGTAAAATAATAGGTATAGACATTCGGTAATTTTAAAGATATAAAAAATAAAGTTACATACCTTCAATATGTACTGTGAAAATACAGCATGGTAGCAAAAATAACACGGCGTAATGGAACTATCGAATAGTTGATAAACCAAAAGTACAAGCTTCAATTCCCGGCTTGCTTGAATATTTATTTTCGTTTTATTTTTTTAATTTACAGTTTTATTACGGTATATGATATTAAGTGATAATTGTCACACGACCTTTGGTTTACTAGTTAGACGATGGTGCCAATTTGTCACGCTATTTCTATGACCACGATTTATATTCGTAGTATGTATTGAAGATATGTAACTTCAATTTTATGTATGTATCTCTAAAACTATCAAATGTCTATACCTAATATTTTACACAATCTATACGCTCTATCATCCTACAAATGCGCGTTAAAATCGATATCAGACAATTTGGGTCCTTCCCTTGTTAGTGTAATGTGTATTCACACCTAATGCCTCGATAGTTTTAAAGATAGTAACATTCCACGAAATAATTTTATTACCAATACATGAGAAATGTATCTGTTTGCAAAAAATGCCAATAGTTTTAATCGTAAAGGAAACAATCACGGTGCGAAGTTTAAAAAAAAACTGTACAAACATACAGTTAAACATAAATAATAATTATTAAGTTACAAAGGACATGCACTTTACACTTGAAGTTCACAAATTATATGAACAAGTAAGTAATAATTTCCCTTGAGGTTAAACATATTTTACAGTGTTATAAACATATTTTTTAAAACCTCATTATAGAAAAGCTTTTATGTTGTAGTTAAATAAGAAAAAGAAATGTAAGATAAAATTGGATGCAATTTGTTCATCCAGTAACTATAATGTTATTAATGTGTTTTATGTTAGAGTATTATACTGTTTATTTATATGGTAAATATGTAGTTTTCTTTACCGAAAATCACAAGTTTTTTATTCTATTATGAACAATACTTGAAATTTAATAATATTAACATTTGTATTTCAAAAAAAATATATATGTTTATAAGTTTGTACTTACATTATTTACCTATTTTTATTTTTCTAAACTTGTCCTATAAGAAATATAGGTATTCCATAGCAAAGCTACTAATTGTACTATTAAAACTTGATATTTTAAAGGTATAAAGTAAAAATTAAACAATTGAACCATGGGCCAAAGCTAGAAAAAAGTTGTGTAGTTTTATTTTTAAATGTTCTAAATCGTTTTTTTGTAAAATACCAATTACTAATAATAAAACTCCTATGAATATAGGTGCAAAAAATAATTGATCACAAGTCACCTTTTTTAATACTACAGTTCCTCCTTTTGAACCAAAATATTTATCTAATATTCCATACCAGGTCCGTGTTGCAGGTCCCTGTCATAATATTAATGAAATTTACTTTGCAGAACCTTATACAATAATTATATATTATTTAGTTTCAGTATATTATACAAAATATACTCATAAAGATATAAATAATATTGAAATTTAATAGGCCCATATCACATACATTATAAATAAAAATTAGATTTGTAAGTATTTTTACATTAAATTTACTTACAGTAATAAAAAATCCTATGCTTCCAAACTGAGCTGTTCGTATAAAATTTAAATCCTTAACTTGCCTTTGTTCAATTACATTTTGTGCTATCTGATCCCCAAGTGCTGTTAATATGCCTATCCATTTAATAATGTACATAATTGTTAATATATTTCATAATAATACGCGAATATTTGATACTTTTAGTGTCTGAATTTTATTACCTGCTTGTACCGCTTGAGTGATCAACGGATATTTTGTTACCAATATTCGGTATATTTTGATAACCTTCATGTTTGCAGAAAGTGCTATTATCACTTACTCATAAATTACCATATTTCTTTGTACGCATTATCTAGTTTTAGCTAACTTAACATTACAGATTAAAATTATAAACTTTAAACATTTATGTTTGAGTCAAGTTATAATATATTTGACATATGTATAAAATGTGTTTGTATTTAACAAAGCGAAGCACGTGCACCGCTTTAATGACAATGAATTTTAGTCCGTGAAATCATATATTATGTATAACATTATACATTATTGTATTTATAAATATTTTGTTTATAAAACGTTAATCATTTTATCTGTACATTCCCTTCCTCTTTTAACAAAAGTTTCGCTATATCATTAACGCAGTTGGCCATACTGTTGAACTGACAGTTTGATTAGGAAATGGTTACATAGTAAAGATGGCAGTGAGAGGTGGTGCACGAATTCTTCTCGCCGTAATTTTGTATATTTTCTTGTTAAAATCATGTAATGGAGCTGCGACAGACATTGAATTAGATGCAAAAGCTCAGCTATTGCATAGACTTGATAGTTTGAATCTTTTATTATATACGTTTTTATTGATATTAACTGTTTTAACAATATGGACATTTAAGCATCGTCGCCTTAGGTTCCTCCATGAAACTGGTCTAGCTGTCATTTACGGTAAGTCGTCTGCTATAATCATTGTTTATATGGTGTAATTTTAATTATAACACGTTATAAAAGTTTTAATTTTAATTTCTACTTAGAGTTATGAAAAGCTTTCTGTAATTTCGTTATTATTTATATGTATACATATCAGATACATTTCTATTTAATGTCTGTATTTTTTCATATAAAAGTGTAATGTAACGTATTTTTTAAATATTTTTCGTGAATACCAATATTTGTTCGATGCGGTACATATTTAGGCAAATGTAAAAAAAAATATATATATATATATATATATATATATATATATATATATATATATATATATATATATATACATTGTTGATTTTAATTGAGCATTTTATTTTGATAATGCTGAATATAATTGTTTTAAATTAACATTTCTGTATTTTTAAATATAATTTAATAGTTTAACTAAAACAGCTAAATTAAACATTTTTATAAGTATTAGTAATTATTAATTGTTTAAAAGTATAAATTTAAATACCTTAACATTTTGCACTTATCTGGAAATCATAAAGAAATTATATAATAAACATTTCAATTATGCAAATCATAGAAATTTTGTTACATAAATATTCTTTTTAAATTAAGGAATTGTTAAAGTACTTATATTTTGTTATTAGTATGCATGGGTATTTTTTTAGGATTAATTATAGGAGCAATAATACGTTATGGCTTTACAACAAGCAGTACTATCCTCCACATGCCTGTTGTACCAGACAACAGTAGTAAATACAATCAATCAGTTCCTCCAGATACATTATGGTTACGTTTCCCAGAAGATAAAGGAGGTGGTGTCATTAAAAATAAAACATTTGCTTATTCATTCAGAGGAGAAATTTATAAACAGGATAATGAAATAGATCTAAAGGTATTATAAGTTACAACCTTGATGAAATCATTTTTAAGATATTCAATTTTATACAAACATAGAAACTATCAAAAGTAAAATATAATTAAAGTAAGAATTAAGTTAAAAATTATAGATAC